ATTTTGGTTGTCCAAAAGAATCTCAAGAAAAATGTAATTTAACAAGTATGTTGTTTTGTAGACAAAGTTTATTATATGTAATTGTTCTCAGTCAGCCAGGTTGACAGGAGCTGCATGAATAAAATTTCCTCATTCTCTTCTTTGAAATAGAGTTCAACATTCATAAGCTTCTTTCTGCTCAGGTCAAACATTTTCACTTAAATAGGAGTATGCTGTGTACATTAAGGCTGAAACGATTCCTCAAATAATTCGAGTAACTTGATTACAAAAAATCTTCGAGGCAAATTTGTCTGCCTCGAAGCTTCGTAAAAAATACATACTGTTATAATCAGCACACTTTCGGCCACCCGGAATGTTATTTGTGTTACACCCAATGCTATGACGTTAGCGCTTCCGCTAACAGTTAAGGCTCCCACATACTCAGGCGCACATGGTCCGAGGAGGTCTGAGCGGACTCGAGCACAAGTATATGGTTGGCCTCGCATACAAGTACACCTTGCTGCAGCCAAAGCAGACGTCCGCCTGACTGGACCGCGCAGAGATAATTTTTTTACATCGTCCGCGTATGCATACAATAAGCAGCCACCCCTTTTTCAGATAAATTTGGGGGGGGGGGGGGGGGCACTGATTGATGGGCCTGATGGATAGTCCCTCATCAGAGCTAAAGAACAAGAGAAATCTGAAGCTTTAATGTTGAATAGTTTCTGAGTTATAAGCATTTTTGCATGTCCACACACCCCTTTTTCAGATAAATTGGGGGTCGGGGGGGGGTGGGGGGGACTGATGGATAGAGCTTCATCAGAGCTAAACAACAAAAGAAATCTGAAGCTCCTATGTTGAACAATTTCTGAGTTATAAGTATTTTTGCATGTCCTGATACCCCTCTCTTTGAAAAGGAGCCCCCTCCTGAAATATGGGGTCTTTGGTAAAACAGTTGGCTGGCGCAGTGTAGGTCAGACTCATCTACAGTCCTGCCAAATTTCATGTTGATTGGTGCAGCCATTTTTGTGCTAGTGTTGACCAAAAACCACCGGAGGAAAAAAAATACTGTACAAAAACAAAATGACTTGCTTACGCTTCGCGTGCGGAGGTCATTACAATATAAACAAGAAACTATCAACTTAACAAATACAGAAATACAAAATATAAACTATCCTTTTTCTTCCATCTCCTCCTGTCTGTTTAATAATGAGAGGAGTTGGCAGGTTGGTAGCCCTCGTGTTTGTTTACATGTAACAACTAGCAATATTAGCCATTAGCTCAGATAAGCATGTTAATATGCTACATATATTAAACAAATATAAAAAGAGAAAATAAATAAACAAATTGCATTTATTCTGACTCCTCTCTTTTTACTTTGTGTGTTAAATAATGGCGCTGGGGCCTGTGTGCATCTGATTACAGCTAAACATTAGCCGTTAGCTTGGAGAAACATGCCAACAATAGCGCAACCATTAACCCCGCCATGAACGCTGACTTAGACTGGTTATGATGAAAATATCATGATCATTTCATTCATTTATGTGTGTGTTGATCAGTGGTTCTGAATATGAAACAGTTACTGTAGGGATGCACGATAACTTATTTTAAGAACCGATACCGATAACTATCGGGCACCACTAGTTTACTGTTCAGTGCGCTTCCACCGTTCACCTCTGCGCTAGAAAAGCTGATGGAAACATGCAGCGTGCTATATATGAACACACGATACATGTGGGTTTTATTTTGAAATCAAAGTTTCACAAACACAACGTCGATACACTTTCAAATGTGTGATTTATTGCACAATCTCACATTTCCTGCACATGCTTCTGTGAGCTCCTCGCACTGTGATGAACTGGACCGACTCGACCGGACCGCAGCTGAGCTACATGTGAATTTGGGGTAGGAAACGCAGCACATGGAAGAAGCAGGAGGAAAAGTGATTTTTATCAGAAAAATAAGAAAAAGCTCCAGAAATCTAAAGAAATTAGTTTTCACCAACAAAAACATGAGGACGAGGGGACATGCACAGGACATGTCCTGCTTTTTCTCTAAAGCGAGTGTAGGGTAATATTGTGCCTGTTTATAGCTGTATTTTTAAACATTTTAACAAGAACGTAAAATCTTTGGAATTTGTAAAGTCAAACTGGAGCTTTATTAGTAGGTATGTGCAATCACCGTTAAAAAATTAAATAAAAACTCTATAAAGCAGCGAAACTCAGTGCTGTAATGATTGAAAACACCTCAAATTCTACTTGCAGAATAGTTGTTTATAAAAAGGAAACTGTCCCGTCAGAAAAATGTGTCACTACGTCACACAGTGAGTCTCTCTGATTGGTTGACTTGACGCACCGTGTCGAGCTGCAAAAGTTCAGATTTTCCAACTCAAGTGTTCGACGCGTGTAAAGGCATAAAACGCGATGTGCTAATAAACACGTTAAACATGCCGCAGCACTTTTCCAACGCTCCTTGATGCGCGTCCACCATAGACTTAGCATGTAAACCTGATGCTCAAAATGTGTTTGGTTACAACTTAATTTCACTAGAGAAGAGCTTGAAACAACAGAGCATTAGCCTGTTTCATTTATCAGTCACCTGAAGGCATCTAGTGATTTGTGGGCCTTCAATAACAACAGTGAACAAAACCAAAGATTTAATCAGATACTCCCAATTATCAATATGTCAGCAGAGTTGAGTTGTCCTTCCTTCCACTTCTCAGCATGTAGGGATTAAAATWAAGTACTACATACATCACACACTGCTTCATTGTTGGCTGTTTCTTTCTTTCTGCCCACCAACATGCTGCACATGTGAAAATTACAGCTTTTGTTTACAAACATGATCCTCCCAAAAAGACAGTGGGTTTGGTATTAAGATAAAATGAAAA